TTATTGTTCATGTATTTCACTTCCATTGCTTGAGCATGCTTCTTTCTTAGAAGAATAAAACCCTTCCACTTTTCTAGAGCTTTACAAAAGCTGTGAAGGGTGGAAAGTCATTCACTTATTCTTCATTGAAGATAAGCTCTTTGTTTAATTTGTTTCACTTAGTAGCTCCTCTACTTGGAGGGATGAGTATCACTCACTTTTCTAGCTTTGTCAAGGCCAAGAAGAGTGAGTAGTTCCTCATTCACTCTTTAGTAAGAGGTGATGAATATGTAAAGATTATCCGAAAGTTATATTTGTGCAACTCCTATATGCTTTAATACTTTATATTCCACTTGCTCATTGGATGATTGAATGCATCTAACAAAGTTGAGGTACTTTGTATAGCCAAGGGCTCACTCTATGATACGGATGACTCCTACATAGAAAGACCTGTTGGTTCAAAGAAAGTACCCTGGCTAGCTCTCCATGACAACCTTTCAATCTCCACTATTATTGCGCTTATTCAAAGGATGGACTATTAATGTCATAGTTGGATGTCTTTGTAGAAACACTTACTTGTTTGTAGACGGGTTAAAATTCACAACAGACAATTCTTGTAAACTTCTAGAAAGGCATCGGAATCATATGCTTAATTCTCATAGTCCATCTTTATCTTCCGATTAACTTGCTGCTAACACGGGAGTTAATTGAGTTATAAAGCACAAACATAACAAACCGGATAGTCAATTACATGTCCTAATCCTTGAACTAAATGGTGACTGTTACATTTTGAAAATCTTATATTTTGTCTAGAAAACTCTTGAAAAGAACCTTCTATTCTATTCAAGAAACCCCACCACTCCAAACTCTCGAAATTTCTAATTACTTGGTCTCTATTATTGCTTACTTCAAAACACCAATCATAATTCCTTGTGGATACGACTCTGGACTTAATCGGATTATTACTACAACTTGACCGCCTGCACTTGGGTGTACACATTTCGGATCGAGTCACTTATTCTTCACTATTTCAGAGTTTCGTCTTTTCTTCTAGCCCGACAAAAATTGCTCAACTCAATGTGTTGGTTTTGTTTTCTCTGTCTCTCTCCTATGAATCGAATTCTTTTTGAAAATAATGTAACAACATAAAAATCAATGTGACAAGGTATTCAAAAGCAATGTAGCTACATATTAAAATAATGTGACAAGTTACTCAAAAATAATATGGCAACATATTAAAAAAATGTGATAAGTTACTCAAAAATAATGTGAAAATATATTATAAAAAAAAGTAAAAATTGAGGTTGAGTCATTCTTACGAGACTTATAATGAGTTTAATCCACTAAAGAAACTTATTTGTGGGTAAGTCTGTTTTTAATTTTACTAATACGTAGTTAAGTCCATTATTTTTTAAAAACTACAAAATACCTTTCTAATGACTTAAAAAGGAATCTTCAACTTTAAATCAGTTCTTTCCCAAAAAAAAAAAACATTTAATCAGTTTTCTAAACATTCATCCTTGATTCACACTTAATGGAAGATTTTTTTTAATAAAATATGATATTCAAATTTAAATTTGACATTATTACCCTCTCTCTCTCTCCTAATTTTTTTTTTCTAAGAAGAATATGGTTAATTTAATATTGAATGTTACTATACATGTTACTATTTTTTTCCATGTTACTATTGGTTTGTCGTGCATGTTACTATTTTTTTATTGTGCATGCTACTATTTTTTGTTGAACATGTTACTATTATTATTTTTTAAAATTATTAATATTAAATATTACTATTTTTTTGTGTTTAAGTTGTACTATTTTTGGTGTTTTAATGTTACTATTATATATATGAGATAGAGAGAGAAATAAATAGTCATATTCTATATATGGATATAAATAGATATTAGAGAAATAATTTCAATGTTATTCAAACTTTTAAAATTTAGGAGTTGTTAATTTTTAAATTTGTTGTAGTTAAATATAGCTAATGAAAGAATTTTGGACAATAGAGATCAAAATGAACTTAATATTAAATTTGTTTCTTTGATGGAGTTATCACCAAATAAGTTGAGGAACCGACCTCCAAATTTTCTTATATATATATACACAGAGAAAGAGAGTTCTTACCTTATAAAGAATATAAAATTAAGAAATTTTGAGATAAATAGTTATAATATAAGAAAATCTAAAATTTAGGAGTTTTAGAGTGAAATAATCTTAATTTGAGAAAAATTTCAAATTTAAAAATTTAATTTTTTTTGAATTTTGAATTTAGTTATCTTTGTGTGTGTGCATATATATGAGTGAAAATATGTTTTAGAATAGTAACCGACCTTCATGTTTTAAGGGATATTGGTCCCATTTTGTTGGTCTTGATTCACGAATCATGAGAGACTGATGCTTGGAGGAGGGGTAATTGATTTCCTAATGGTTAGACAGGTACTTCAGATATGATGGAAAAAAGAGGAATTTTATCTCAAAAGTTTTTGAAAAAGACCTTTCTCAAATAAGAGTTAAAAAATGGGCTTTCCCTTCATTTTTTGGTTATTGGGAGTCTAAGTTTTCTCTGATTATCCTTTCGAGCTTGAATATTGACTATCGTAAATTGAGTGGGTTTAAAATATATCTTTTAAAAAATAAGGATAATTGATCCTTAGAAAATATGAAAAGTGTTTAAACTTGAAATCTTTGAATTATTGAAAGTCAAACTTAATTACTGAATTACGCTTAAAAGTTAACTTAAAAATGTTATGGAACTACTGTAATCACTACCCATGACTTGGGATATCTTATACCAACACTAAGATTCCATAATATAATATTAATTACATTTAATTATTAAATTTAATTTATTAACATAATTCATCATTATTTAGAGTCAATACACTAATTGTGGATTAAGATAACAGATTAAACTAGATGATTCAGCTGAAGCGCCATTACTCGATTCAATAACGAGTAGTGGCTGGCTTTGGTGTTGGCATGGATGGCTCGGGGGTGTCAATCGTGTTGGAGAAAATATCTATGGGTTAGTTAATTAATTTTTTATTATTATATTAATTTTATTTAAATGAATTGACACGTCATTCTTCAATAATAACTCATTTATTAAATTTATTTAATTTCGTATTAATTAATTGTATCGCCCTAAATTCTGACGGCCTTAACGGTGCCTGAGTGGTGAGTTTCGATTACATGTGACAAAGAAAGGTGCAGGAAAAGGGCTTGCCTTAAGCGTGAAGAATCTGTTTGGAAGTTTGTCTTGGTGAAGAACGGTGGTTGGGTAAACTACTTTAATGCAAAGTGAATGCTTCCGTGGTGGATCAGAAAATCCCATTAAAAAAACCTTAAATTTGTTGGTCTACATCAGCATTTATGTACTAAAATGATTATCAATTAAGGAATCTCCTCAATTCATAAATTTATTATTGAATTCGATAATATTGTGTCACTATCAATATTCACCCCCTCTCTTGGCGGTGGAAAATGTGTCGCGTGGACTTTGTTTATGTTTGTCTTATTTTAAATTTGTGTCCACTATTAATTAATTTTAATTTAATTTTTTAATTAATCGTATTACGTAGTATCAATTTATTTATTTTTATGTCATATTTGTGTTGACTCATATAATCTGTGAATAAAAAAATTAATGCTCATTTTTATGTCAAAAATTTTATTATCACTTAATCAAACTTATGATTATATTTTTTCTATAAATTAAAATTTAATTTAATAAATATAATAATAAAAATGACTAAAAATATATTTTTTGAATAAAAATTAGATCACTACTTGATAAAATATAATAAAAAATGTGACATATTACTCTTATAATACTATTTAAACATATTAATCATATCAATTTTGTATTATTAATGTTCGATACTAACTCAATTTATTTATTATTTATGTTAATTATAAATAATCAATCATAACATACTAATTTTATATCAATTTTAAATCGTATTTTTTGTATTGGATCAAAAATTACCACCGGCTCAGTGTAATAACACTTTTCTGGGAATTTGTGTTGGTGGGGGAGGCAAATGCCGCAAATCAAGAAATGGTGCAGTGTTCAAATTAGTGGAGATTTGTGAGGTTTGGTGGCGTTGGATTTTTTTTTTTTTTGTCCGAACATTATTTGATAATTTCAACCATCGAATATGTAATGAATCCTAATAAATTTGAAATTTACAGTGAAATCAATGGTTAAAATTATCAAGTCTAATTTTTAAGTCTACTTTTAAAGTTCATGTAACATTATTCTTTGATACTTAATTATTTATATTTTTTGATATTTAAAATATTATATACAAACCCATTAAAATTTGTACGCACATAATATTTAGACGTATGTTGTCGATACGTATATTTTTTACTAAATTATACTCAGATTCTAAAATTTGCATGGGTGTAATATTTTCAAGTTTAAAATATTATACTTAAATGAAAAATATATCAATCAAAAATAGTATATCAAATGTTTTAAATTTTACAATTAAAATTTATGTTCTATTATATTATTTATTGAAATAAAATTTTTAAATTTTTTTTTAAAAAAAAATCATAATTAGTATACAAATCATACTATCTATTAAACTAAAACTAAAAAAAAGCTAAATAAGGAGTCAAAAAATTATTGGCACAATATCTTCTATCTTTAATTATAGTAATTTAGTTGTTTAATAGATTTTATTAGTTCGGTAACTAATAAGGGGTATAAATGTAATATTTTAAATTTAAAGGATTTAAATATTTATACATTTACAAATTTAAGAGAATTTGAATATAATTTAGTAACGAATATTAATGACACGAGCCTAAGTATCACGTATTTACAAATTTTAAAAAATTTATAAGTAATATTTCAAATATCAAATAATTTAAGTCATGTCACATTTTAAGAGCCTCAGCGTAATTCTCTGTAAAAGAAATTGAGGGGATCACACATTGAAATAATGTTTTTTGAAGAGTAAACATTGAAATAATTCATCGTGCCAAAACATCTCCTATTTAAAGGGGAACTATTCCGTACACCAATTACAAGTCCGGTTTCATCCACTCTGTCTAATCATCCACTCACACACGCATCTCTTCTCTGTATCTGTATCTGTATCTGTATCTTCTGTATTAAGATATTTGGCACACCTCCCGCACTCCACCCCATTGCCAACCCATCAGCCATGGCTTCTCTCCGATCTTCCCTATGCTTTCTCTTTCTGTTCTACGTTCTTTCCTCAGCCTTGGACATGTCCATCCTCACTTACGACCAAAACCACGGCCTCACGACGACCACCCATCAAAGAACAAACGATGAAGTCAAGAATTTATATGAATCTTGGCTGGTTCAACATGGGAAAGTGTATAATGGCATCGGAGAAAAAGAGAGGAGGTTTGAGGTGTTCAGAGATAACTTGAAGTTTATTGATGAACATAACGCTGAGAACCGGCCGTATAAGGTTGGGTTGAATAGGTTTGCCGATCTGACCAACGAGGAGTACCGTTCGATGTTTGTTAGTGGAAGGATGGAGAGGAAGCAGAAACTTTCGAGTCCGAAGGGCGATCGGTATGCGTATAAGGGCGGTGAGGAGTTGCCGGAGAAGATTGATTGGAGAGAGAAAGGGGCTGTGGTTTCCGTTAAAGATCAAGGCCAGTGTGGTGAGTTAGTTTTTGATTATTGTGTGAATAACTGAATATGTGTGTGGGGGGGGGGGAATTTTTTGTGTTTTTTTGGTTGATTTTCTGTTGTGGGTATGAGAAGAGTAGGGTTGGATTTGAGCGTTGGACTCGGAACATGGTTTTTCAGGGGTGGTTCTGATTCGGTTGGATCGATCATGGGTCCTCTTGGATGTTTCTGTTTGGTTCGATGGAAAATCTCTGGGAGAGAAAATTGTGTTAAAAGAAATTAAATAATTAGAATATTGACATCTTACAGTGAATGTTAGATGGGGAAGTTCTCATGTTTTTCCCTTTTTTTGTCAGCTGCGGGAAGAATTATATGTTCTTTTGCAACAAATTTTTTTTCTTGAAAGTAGGTTTGCTTTGAAACAAATAAAAGCTAAATCTGATTCTAGTAATCTAATTACTGATTTAGTGTTCAGGGCATAATCAAGCTTGGTTAGTTTCATGTGGGTTTTTTTTTTTTTCCGTTAATTTGCAACCTCTTTTTCTTGTTGAATAGCATTACGGGACCATCTCCAATGAAAACCCACACCTTTACCCAAAAATAAGTAAAAAAAAAAAGGGTAAAAAGTTTGATTTGGTATAGACCTCTGTGTAATGGAGAAACTCAAATTGAAAGGAAGACAAAATAAAATTTATATAAAGACAAATCCAAATTTAAAGGTGGATAGAATATAACCATTAGTCTTTAAAGAAGAATAAAATCTAACCATCGGTGATTTGAGGAAAGGTTTGAAGATGCTTTTAGGGGTTAAATTGTGCAATACATGTGGCTCTCAATTGTTTACATGACACTTGAGGGTGAGGCTCTCCTTATAATTTGATTGGATTTATATGGCTTTCTCTCCTTGTGAGATGAAATTTGAGTTTGCCCACTTGGTTTGATCTTCTTTTGATCTGGATTTGTGAGCACTCTGTGATGTTGGAGGCAAATATGTATTCCTTAGCTGACAAATGCTTGTAAACAAAGAAATGTGTATTTATATGAAAGTTTAGTTGTTAATGAAATAAAGTGGTCGTGTCATCTTCAACATTTGAATGCTCAAGCTCTACTGCTTCGAGGGGGAACTGGGATTTTCTTTCCTTTTTTGGTTCTAATGCCAATTCAGCTGAAAAGATAATGTTGTTTTTTTATATTTTGAAGTAATTAAACACATACATATTGTGTTCAATTGGTTCAAAGACAGCCTCTACCTTTTAGCTTTTTGGCAATTTGTTTTGATAGCAAATGTTTCTGTCATGTCTATGGAAATAATTTTGATGCATCTTAGAGTCATGTTTTTTGAGTAATTGGGATTTGGGAGTAGTTAGAGATTCTTGCCTTTTTTTGAATAATACTTTTTGTAGTTACCTTTACTTTTCGCTTTTTCTTTTGCTTTCTTATGGTGGGGGAGTCTCAGTTTTTTGTGCATAGATTATCATGTTATGAGGTTTGGTGTTTCTAACAAAGTTCACATCTAGGAACGAGTTCAAGTACTAGTAGGAGCTTGAGCAACATTACCAATTTTATTGTTAGTCATTGCCAACTTTTTGTTTCGCAAAATTGTATAGTTAGGAATTAGAAGGAAATTGCATCTTTCCTCATTTTCTATTGATTGACTATATTCCACTGAAATTTATAAATTTCAAATGAAGGGAGTTGTTGGGCATTCTCAACGGTTGCTGCTGTGGAAGGAATAAATCAGATTGTAACAGGTGATTTAACAGTCCTGTCAGAGCAGGAGCTGGTGGAATGTGATAATTCTTATAATCAAGGATGCAATGGTGGTCTTATGGATTATGCTTTTCAATTCATCATCAGCAATGGTGGAATTGACTCTGAGGAAGACTACCCTTACCGAGGTCTTGATGGCGGATGTGATCAGAATCGAGTATGTGCCAAATAGAATCAGAAGTCAACAAAAAAAGCAAAAAGGGGAAAAATTAATTAGCTTTGAATGAGTTTCATTTTAACTAGTAGTCCATATAGCATGGGTTGGAAAATTATTCTCTTTGATATTTTTTCAGAAAAATGCTCGGATTGTTTCTATTGATGGTTATGAGGATGTTCCGCCCAATGATGAGAAGTCACTGCAGAAGGCAGTGGCAAATCAACCTGTTAGTGTGGCCATTGAAGCGGGGGGCAGGGCTTTTCAACTCTACCTATCGGTAATGATCTTATCATGTATCTTTCATTGTCTTAGCACAGTAACTCTATAATTGGTTTTTCTTTCCTCTTAGCACAGTAGTATTTAGTTAATGGACATATTAGGTTCAAATTTTTGAGATTGATAACTGTGTATGTGCGCTGCAAATTTGGGAATTAACTTCTGGTGAACTCATTGAGCTCATGTCATACATACTGTGCAAATTGTAGATTTCATTTCTTGGCCCATTTTTTGGGCAATATGGTTATTAGTGTAGCCATCTTTGCTTGAGTTTGTTTTTACATAATATATCAGTAAGGTATTCTTCATCAGTGTGGTCATTGATGGTAGATTCATGGTAACTTTTTGACAAGCTCAAGAAACAACTTTCCTATTTACCAATTAAATTTTTCTTTGAACTTCTCAGGGTGTTTTTACTGGACTCTGTGGAACGGAGCTAGACCATGGAGTTGCTGCTGTTGGATATGGTACAGAAAATGGGGTAGACTATTGGCTTGTGAGGAACTCGTGGGGTCCGAACTGGGGAGAGAATGGGTACATAAGATTGGAGCGAAACTTGGCTAATACCACTACTGGGAAGTGTGGGATCGCAGTAGAGCCCTCATACCCCATCAAGGTTGGGCAGAATCCTCCTAACCCTGGACCATCTCCTCCCTCACCAGCATCGCCTTATGTAGCTTGCGATAACTACTTCCTTTGTCGGGATACAACAACATGCTGCTGCACTTATGAGTATGGTAACTTCTGCTTTCGTTGGGGATGCTGCCCCCATAAATCTGCTACATGTTGTGATGATTACTCGACCTGCTGCCCACATGACCATCCTGTCTGCGACCTTAATCATAATCAATGCCTAATGGTAATTTAGTTATATATCGTAATATCTTTGTTCTTGTTTGCCCATTTTTGGAGAAATCTGACATTATTACATGTTAATTCCAATATACTTGACTTCTCCGTTTGCTGATATATTGTCCTACAATGTAACAGAGCAAGGGCAACCCAATGAGGGTAAAAGCACTGAAACGAGGTCCGGCTATACCGAACTGGGCTCGGCTGAATGCTGGCAGGAAGGTCAGCAATGCTTGATGAGGTCTTGAAGGACAAAGGGATGATGGCACCACCTGGGTTGGAACGAGGAAAAATTTAATTGTTTGTTAAACTATCTGTTGATGCACGGCAAGACACCCTTTTCACCATGTTTCCTTTGTTTGTATAAACTTCATGTGGCATCAGTGTTTGTAAATCTAGCTCTTTCGTATTTGCTGTATAACAATTTACTTGAACTGACACTAAAATTTATGGTCAAGCCTTGGAGTGCTTGGTTTCATAAACATCAAGCGGTATTATAAATAATTCCATTATTAGAAATAACTTTTTTATCTTTTTTGTTGTGCACTAATGTGAAAAGTAATATTTGGTGATTCAAAAGGATGACATTTAACTCCTAAATCCTTCATTCCCAAAAAAAAATGATCTAAATGAGATCACGTCGACGACAATGAGAACGTGTCAACTCTTAGGTCTTTGCATCGTCGTTGATGTGATCTCATTTATCAATTTTTTCTTGACAAATTCGTGTTTTAGAGTTTGGCGATTCAATAAATTCCAATTTTACGATTTAATGGACTTAATTCCTACACTTTCTCTACATTGGAGGGTTATTAATATTAAACATTAATCCAATTTGATTATACTTAATGCAATAAAATACTTTTTTGGGGTAAGGAAATAAAAAAATAAAATAATTGGCCTATTAGAGTTAGTTAAAAACTTTAGCTTTAGCCTTTTGGAGCATTTCGAGGGAAGAAGTGTAGTTCATTTAAACTTGGACTTATGGAACGATTTTTTTATCATCTTATTAGACAAAAACAACTTTTATCAAGAAAAATTTTAAAAAAGTGGCTTTATAAGGCAAGTTGAAAAAAGTGGCTTATATAAGGAAAGTCGATTTTTTTAGAAATATTTCAAATAATTGCAATAATTTTTTAACTCTGACTTTTTTATTTTATTTTTTATATTTTTATTTAGCACTAATAAAGTAAAATCTAAATAGGGCAATATGATCTCATACAATGACTCTGATGCTTTATTATTTAACATCATGTTTAGTAAGTAAGGAAAATAAGATGGATATAAAAGTAGATGAGTGAGTTTTTCTTTCAACTTACCAAAATCAATCCCTCTAAAATTGGAAAGAAAATTAATGAAAAATTAATTATTTATGTTAAAATATATCTTATTTGAATATATATCTTTTGATATATACATATATTATGTATACATTAATTTCATATATAAATACAATGATAAAATATATATTTATATTTTTTTTAAAAATTTAAAAATTAAAAAATATATTTTTTCCATTTTACCAAGTACAAAAAAAAAATTAATCATTTTTATTTTTCATTTATCCAACTAAACACAAAGAAAGAAAAATGTATAATTCCTATTTTCTTTCCTTAATCTCTTTCTAACCAACTCTTCTATTTTATATCATTTCTACCGAACTGAAAATAAAAATAGGGAAATATTGCAGAAATGTATTAATTTTTCAAATTAAAAAAAAAAAAAAAGAACTTTAAGAAAACTGATGGGGTCAACACATAAATATATCAAAAGAACAGGAGTGCTCAGTAAATATAGTGACTCCAACCCAAGGATTATTCAACCTGTCACTTCTTTTGCAGAAGAGAGAGAGAGAGAGAGAGGGAGAGAGAATAACGAAGAAGGGGAGGAAGAAGAGACGTCGACGCGGGCCAAAGTCTTCTGCAACCACCGCCTCCGTTATCTTCCATGATTTACGTCAGGTACCTTCGAGCTTTACTTCCTCTCACTCTTGTGTATGTATCTCCGCACACCCCACAACTGTGTTTGTAAACAGGTGATCTATATATGAATTTATGTAGTTGTGTGATTGCACATATTTTTCATTTATTACATCCTAAAATCGGCGAGTATTGCGGATCGGAAGATGAATCAGTAGAAATGAGTTTAAATTTCTTGGTCTCTTTGCGTACTACATCAATTCCTCCTGTGCTTTATGTAGTTTGTGAAGATAATTTTGCAAGACGAATGATAATTTTATTTCATTGCTTCATTTCAATTATCACACCAATGATTTTGACTAACTTTTAGCTTGAGATCACAATTAAAAGGTTTCCCGATTGGTGGACTGGGTACAGAACAGGGGCGGCCTGACACATATTGAAGCCTAAGGCGACAAATTTGAATAGGGTCTTTTGTTTTTTTTTTTTTTTTAACATTACTACAATTGTTTAAAAAAATAATAATTCTTGCTTGTTAAAATACACATTCTTAATCAAATTATTGTATTCTCAAATTTTGCTATCATATATTATCAATTACAAACATATCTTTTTGTTTGATACATGTAACAAATTTATCAAAAGATTTTTTTTGAGTTACAAAGAGTTTTTAATTTTTCTTATTTTTAATTTTTTATATCCGGCTGGTTGTCTATAATATATAATCAAAATAAATACATGTGATATTAAAGGATCTATAATAATAATAATCATAATAAAGCTTGAATTTAAGAAAAAGCCCTTAAAATATGAAACGACAATAAAATTTTATTTTTCAGCTATTTTGATTCTCTATCGACCAAAGTTAGATTATCACTCTTGCCAAAAAATTTGAGTGGGCTATTTTTAGGTGGGTTTGAAGATATAAATTTTGTGAAACATTAGGACAAAGAGAAAGATATGGATCTTGAATTTGTGGGTTGATTTATAGATGGGTTCTAGACCATTTAACATATAATTTTCCTATTGGGCTTAAGCTTTATAAGGTTCTTTGAGTAGTGACTTAGAATATTATGAATTTAGAGTTTGAGCCTAAACTATACTATGAACATAAAAAATATGAGGCCTCTTTTATAATTGTGGCCTAAAGCCCACGCTTTTTTCCCTCCCCTATTGGGCCGGCCCTGGTACAGAATTCGGATGTTTTCGCAAAGTGACTGCTTTCAGACTCTAACATGGAATCACAAACTTAGCAGCCACAGCACTGCACCGTTGAACTAAGTAATGGGCCCCAAAATTTTATCTGATGCTATATTCTGAATTTCAGTTTTGTTGTATAGTAGTCAAGGATGTCATATTTGATATCACAATGAATTGGGAGACTGAAAGAAACTCGATGTTGTCTATTTCACCAATGATCTAACACAATCAACTGTGAACTCAATATATATAAATTTGGGTAGTTGCCTGCTATGTGCAGTTGACGTTTGAGTTAGTGAAATTATTAGCAATGATTGCACTGTATCAAATAATTCTTCTATGAGTGATATTTTCACCACGGTTGTCAAATTTCTTGTCAAATTGATGCTGTGTTTCTACCTTGATGTCCTTCCTTTGTAACTTGCTTGCTTATTCATTTTTGGTATGATTTGTTGAACATTACCTTTTTCAATGTTTTGTGTTGTATAGCTTTGTCAACTTAAAGTTGTGTGTGTGATGCATGGATCTGATTTTTTGTTGTCTTATTCAGAACATATATGAGGATGATAAAAAAGACAACCTTTTTTGCACTTTTGCGTACTCTTTTGCTGACTGAGCAGTGTGGTGAGGACTCTTTCTGATAGGCCTTACCCTTTGCTTAAACAGCAAGAACTTTTCTCATATAATCTTTTGTACTCCTGGATGTTTTCTAGATTACTTGTCTGCTGTAAAAGTTGAGTGTTTACAAAAGGCTATCAAATTAATTAGCTTCTTGAGGCTGAAAAATTATTCATGTGGTTTCAATCCGCTTTATCATAATTTTGTTGGTTTCTCTAGCATAGTGATTTCATCTGCCCCTCATTCTTTCCCTATTATAGCATATCCGAAAAAAGAAAAGACCAATCATTGTATCACTAATAGTGCTGTTTGCTTTCCCCTTCTCCTTCCGTGTTTTTGTCCCTACCTTTTTCATTGGGTGGAAGAGAAAAAAAAAAAGGAAGGGGGGGGGGGGGGGAAATTCTTCATTGATTTGTATCGCATATAGGATAAGACAAAGAAGAGTGATTGATTGTGATGTTCTGCACCACCTTTCATTTAATTACCAAATTGTTGATATTGTTGGACGTAATTATTAAACTACTCATATGTACATGTAACCTCTCTCTCTCCCCCCCCCCCCCAACACTTCTTCCTCTCTTCATCTAGTTTGTTTTTTGTTTAATTTGGTATACTTGTGATTGCTTTTTAAGCTATATTGATATCTTTTAATCCTTTGGGGTGTCATTGTGATTGCAATTTGCATGGTCAGTTAAATACTTCTGTTGAGAGCTCTGAGGTCGAAGAATGGCTTCAGGATCTGCTAATTTATCAATTCCACCTTCTGTTAAAGCTCCAGATGTACCCACCCCTACCGCAGTAGATACTGGACCAGATACTGATGCACCATCTAGGCTATCTGCTTCTGGCATATCCACATGGGCCAAGAATATGAAAATCCCCAAGTCAATGCAAGGCAGCCAAGATGAATCACCATCTGGGAATGCTGGGAAATCAACTTTTGCTCGCTTTACTACTGGGTTTGGGTTGCGCTTGTCTCCCAAAGCTCCTCAGCCAGATGATAGTTCCAATGGAGCCTCAACAGCATCACAGCCCGGTTTTATTGGAACACTCACAAAAGGAATAGTTGACTCATCTAAGAATGCAGTGAAAGCTGTCCAGGTCAAGGCTCGACATGTTGTATCTCAAAATAAACGAAGATATCAGGTGGCTCACTGATGTTACTGCTGCAATTCTCCATTATCTATCTCATGATTATCTAGTTTCAACCACATTGCTTTCACTTCTTGTCTTGTTTCTGTTTGGAAGGTGGTTGGTATTTAGATATTGCATGTTTAGGTTTGCATTTTCTTTTGTGGTTCTTGTGAGATTTTATCCCGGATCAAGGAAGTAGAACTTTTGGTCCCACTCACTTGATTTCCTTCTTATTATGTCACAAACTTCCCAGTTGTTAGAAGCACAGTATTCTTTTATTTCACCACAGTAATTCATCCCCCAATTTATTGGATTTAAATAGCTGATCTCAGAAGATCATATAGAATGTATTGAATCAGATTACAGAGTTTCTACAAATCCCATCCAGAACATAGGTGTTCTAATCTGTTGTTTTATATCCATTGTTTGTAGGAAGGAGGATTTGATTTAGATATGACATACATTACAGAAAATATAATAGCTATGGGCTTCCCTGCTGGTGATATGAGCTCTGGTTTCTTTGGATATGTTGAGGTATGCAAACTAAACTTCATTAAAGTCAGTCATTAATCATGCTAGTTTGATTGTGTCATCATTTAATTGAACTAATAGAAAAACGCAATGTAGGGATTCTACCGAAACCACATGGAAGAAGTAATCAAGTTCTTTGAAACTCATCACAAGGTAATGAATATGTGTATGTATATGTCCGTATGTCTGAGAATACTATAGGAATGCAGCATCAGCATTCCTGTAAGTTTCATCTCATCTTCTTTGATGTAAGAAACGACGACTGAGCGACCCACTCTTGATAATTTTCAATTTGTGCAAGTTGAATATAAGTCTTCATATTTTGCTCTCCCCAACCTATACTTTGAGACAATTTGTCTGAAGTTTCTGCTTGGATGGGAGTTGTTTTCTGTTCCATTCATAATTTTCTTGCTGAGGCTATGTCAAGCATTTCATGGATTACCCAGAAAACTAATTTTTTTTCCATCGACTTGTTCCAGTAAGAGTAAGGTTGCTCGTCACCATGCTTGCTACATACCCTTTTTAGTGCTTTTTCTTTATTTATGTCATAAAAACCTAAAGACCTTCCGGTAGGCAAAAAGGTAACCTGCGTGGTTGCAGTTGCTGTTGTGTGATACTTTCCTGAATTTGTTTTGCTTCTCCCAGTCGTTGACCCCTTATTGAACTTGGTTTTCTGTACTGTGTTTTATTATAAAAGCCCACAACATGATTAGGAATTTATGTTCTTTGTTTGTGATTGGTATTTCATAATGACATTGGGGTCCAGAATCTTCATCCCCTTCTGTTTTATTGTTATGAGTGGACCATGTTTCCTTACTCTGGATAATTTTCTATGCAGGATAAATACAAAGTGTACAATCTTTGTTCAGAGAGGCTGTATGATGCATCATTATTGGAGGGAAAGGTGTGATATTATCTTCCATTCGAGCTTATGATTTTGTGTCATTGGAACCAAATATCTGATCTTTAGGGGTTATTTCTTGGGGGCTTAAATTTTTTTGACTACTGACATGATTGGTAAAACTTTAGATCATATTTGCCACATATATTTATGGTCGATGACTAGCTTCGAGCTATTAATTGCTTTTGATGTCAAGTTTCTCACAACTTCTAAAGCTACCAGTTTCTTTGGGTTGTCTAAGTTAAGATTACTGAGGTGTAGTACACCGAGAGAGCTGGTATATGAAGTCTAAAAAGTGTTCTCAGATATCCTATAGTTTATGCTCATACTGAAGAACTGTTTCAATTTTTCAAACATCAACTAACTTGTGGATGAAAATTGAAGAAATATCAGTAAACATACTCCCATGGTTGCTACAAAAGCACAACTGTGACACACATTGTGCTTCTTCACCTGAACTTGTAAATCTTAGTGCAATATGTTTTTATGGAGACAATTTTCTCAGCTCCCCTCTGGAGGAAAGAAATTAAGAAATTATTTACCTTGTGAAAGGGCTTTACATTCAGTAAGTGCTGCACTGCCGTTTGCAATATGAATATTTAGATGGCTTATTATTCCGATTGAAGTTTCTCTGCAGAGAACTCTTTTAGAAATTGAATGGCAGCTTGACATATCACTCTTAACACTCTCCGCAGGTGGCTAGTTTCCCATTTGATGACCATAACTGCCCTCCTATACAACTCATCATATCATTTTGTCACAGTGCATACTCATGGTTGAAGGAGGATATTGAGAATGTCGTGGTTGTGCACTGTAAGGCCGGAATGGCCAGGACAGGATTGATGATTTCTAGTCTTCTTTTATATTTGAAGGTAAGATTCTTATAGTACATCCCATGAAAGGTGGCCATGGAAATAAAATCATTACCTTTCCCTTTGTTACAAGTTTTATTACCTTGCTGGTTCTATTGTTTGGTTTTGTGAAAGCAGTGCTGCTTTGTTTGTCATCTCTCTGCAGTTCTTTCCCACAGCAGAGGAGTCTATGGACTACTACAACCAGAAAAGATGTTTCGATGGAAAAGGGCTTGTTCTGCCAAGCCAGATTGTGAGCTCTCTCTCTCAATTTTTTTTGAATCTCATCTTTTCGCTGAGCTTCTCTTCATCTTTTCTGATAACTGTGTTATTTTCTTTTTCCGAAGAGATATGTGAAATATTTTGAGCGCATCTTAACTTACTTCAATGGAGAAAACCAGCCTGGGCGCAGGTATACTTCTCACCACATGTGTGTCAGAATGCATTTTTGCTTTCCAGATTGTAGAACTTGAACTCTTGCCACATTTCAGAGTGTAGGACCTATACGCTTGCCTCATGACGGACAGCCTTAATATTTGCAATTGCAGTCTTGTGTCCTTTCTTGTCAGTGATGTGAGTCTAGCTAGAGATGAATGACGACATGTTTGGTCAACTGAATTGCATTATTTGCAGGTGCATGCTTAGAGGATTTCGGCTTCACAAATGCCCATATTGGATTAGGCCCCATGTTACTGTCTCTGATCATAATGGTATACAGCAACATTCTTGTTCTGTTGGATTGTTTCTTCCCACATTTCAGGACTTCTGATACAATGTCCAACTTCTGTAGTTTATTTTCCAACTTAGTTGTTACCAGAAGTCTCTCTTGTTTACTTGTTTTTGTGGAATTTGACTGCATTGCATGTGTTTGTATTTGGCAACTAGGTGTCTCAGACTTAAGAATTAGCTTTCATGCTAATTCCAAATGGACATGTTTCCCCGTTGGATGGCTTTCTTGGATTTTTTTTTTCATTTTTGGGTGGGGATGAGGGCGGTGGTGAGCTGGTGAGGTTTTCGTTTTGGAAGTGGACATGCTTCCAGATTTTTTGTGGCATTATATGGGAGGACTCGTGATTTTGGTTGTTCAGTTGCATATTGAACAATGGATCACAATGTGGTTCAAATGCAGCTGGCTGCGAAATATCTCCAGTCTAGTGAACCAACCTGGTTCAATGCAACAATGTGTGATCACATGGCTTCACTTTTCACCATTGGGTAACCAATTTTGTATCTGTCCAGACTCCAGATGAACCATAAACCTGGGTGCAACTTATAATTGTTTACTTCTGGTTGATGAGTTCCGTTTGCTTGATAATAGGCCTTTACTTATTCGAGTCCCTGTCAATCAGGGTGATGGGAGGATGGACCGGGTACAAATATAACCTCTGCATTGTTTGCAAGAAGCAGCAGCCCTCAAATATGAATAAAATGTGTTGATCATCAACCGAAGCTTTTTAATTATCGCACTAGGCAGTGGCCTCTTACGACCTTGCTTGATATTGACTTAAATTGAAATACTATAGGTTTTTACATTCATTTCTTGAATATTTATTCTGCTGGATTTCATAGATCATTACCCTATAGCGAGCCTTTATCCTTTTGTGGGCTATCATTGAGTCACTTGACCCAAGTGACTGGATTCAGATTTTGAATATATTGATTTGAGGTTTTCAAATTTAGAATGCCGTTCTGAGTGCTTTTCCACTTTGCAGCTCTCTGTAGTTTGAAAATCTTGCCACTTATTTACTTCCATCTGTATCCAGATTTTACCATCTATAGTATGATGTATCCATATGCTAACAATTAGATCTGTGGGTGACATTCTTCTTATTTTCAGGTGTTCTCTTTTCTACAAAAAAGCACCCAAGAACCAAGGATCTGTCGGTAGGTCTGTTTGATGATATGGTAGCAAACTAAGATTGGTTTTAATTTCATCCAATTCTCTAATGATTGGTTATAAGCTGCGAAATTGGAAGAGTTATTAAGCATTGGTTTTCTTTGAGTATAATCATTCATAAGATTTATACGCAATATAAATCATGTTACCCATTCTACTGTAAGATTCGTTCTATTAATCATATATTTAAATGTTGGTGGCTAGGCAACTCCTGCTATGTTTGTGATTAGTTGAGATTCCATCAGTGAAAATACAGCATAATGTTTGACTAGTGGGTTGGTTATATAATTCTTAGTCACCCACCATAGATTTTTCTTTAATATCGGGATCAATTCCTAAGTTGGTTCCTTCAAAATTATCATTTATTAGAATTGCCGAGTCACAAAAGTTTTGTATGAGTATTGATAGGATACTAATGCCCTATCTAATTTGAGCATTTTTAATCTTTTGGAATGTAACATTGTCAATATGAGTACTCATTATAGTTTGCTCTGCAGCCTGAAGCTTTTTGGTTTAGTGCACCAAAGAAAGGGATCATGGTCTTTGCTCTGCCTGGGGAGCCAGGCCTGACAGAGTTGGCTGGGGACTTCAAAGTTGATTTTCATGACCGCCAAGGAGACTTTTATTGGTACATTACCTAAATGTTCACTCGCTGTCTTTCCTGTTCCCTTAGACAGGGAAGAGATGCACTAAGACAGGAAAGAGATGCACCAAAAAGGGGGACAGAAAAATGGCTTAGTTGCTAGTTATGCTTCTTAGAATTCAAGCTTAAACTTATTTTGTTTCTTTTCTTGATACTTCAGTTGGTTAAACACAACAATGATCGAGAACAGAAAAATTCTAAACACAAACGACCTTGATGGGTTCGACAAGGTAAACATCATAATTTGATGATATATAGTGATATTGAGGGTTCACCATTCTATCTAAATATTTCTTTAGAATTATCTGTTTCTGATGTAGAGATAGATGTTTTCCGCTTTTTACTGTCACCCTTTTTATGTGTTTCTAATTAATTTAGTGCCTATATTTCAGCCACTGTTCAATCTGTATTTTGTTTTCTGGACCGTGTGCAGAGGAAACTGCCATCCCCAGGATTTCAAGTGGAGTTGTGCTTGTGGACTACAACAGTGCTGTTCCAACAAAGCCTACAGCTGAAAATGTGACCACTAAAGCTGTTGAAAGTTCGAGTACCACTACCTCCTCAGGAACCGTATCACCCTCAGTTGATGGCGCTGTAGCTGCTACAAATCCCAAAAAGGAATTAGGAAGTAATGAGAAGGATGATGTGTTCTCAGACAGTGAAGCTGAGGAAACGGGCTCTTCAAAAAGCAGGCAAACTAAAGAAGCCTCTGAAGCTGGTGGAACTGTCGGTGCAACTGCCCCAATTTCTGAGGTCAAAACTACATCGGATCAGGTTGCTAGTTTGACACGTGAGACTGAGCAAGTCTCTCTGGGAGGCACAGGCTCTACACATATTGTTCCTACTAACGAGCCGAAAAAGGATGCTGTTGGGGGACCTGTGTCGGGCCTTGATGTCCCCAACCCAGTGGGAGAGGTAAGTAGTGACTTCAGGGTTATGGCCGCCGATGCGTCCGTCTTTACATTTGGAGATGAAGAGGATTATGAGAGTGAATGAGCCAAGCGGCTGCATATCAGGCTTCAAAACAAGATTTGTACATAGATAGATGGCTGTGAACAGGTTCCGTGAGCCCAATTTCTGGGTGAGCATTTCATTTCATTTCATTCATTTGATTTTTTTATAACTTCGGTACCTGGAAATAATTACCGTTCTGCCAGGATTTTTTAGCTTTTCTCTTATGCACCATAGTTTTTAAATTATATATTTAAATTACTGTTTTTTTTTTATGAAAACATGGTTTAAATTCATTTTTTTCAATGCAAAAGTGTATTTGCAAAACATATTTCCAATAAAAACTTTAAAGCATGTCTTGTAAAAAATGTGGGTTTCAAACACGTTTTGTCTAAATAAACTAGCAAATATGGTACCAAGGGAATGAAGTTGAAAATTTCTGGGTGGAATGGTCAAAAATTAGGGGATTGGTTTCTTAGGAGTGTTAGGAGAAGACTACGCTCAAAAAAAAAAATGGTATGGTATCGTTATGTACAAGTTTTGTGGATTTATGAACAAATTTTGATGGTCATTTATAATGTTTTAGGGTCATTTTGAATTTTTAAGGGCCATTTACCAATTTTGGCGGTCATTTATAATTTTTGTTCATAAGGATTCTAAGGTAACCTCAAAAGTCTTGAACCATGAGAGTTAGAACATGCCCTTAAAAGGTTGTATAAATAAATACAAAAACTAGTATCTCAACTTACGAAACTTGTAAAATTTAGTAGTATCCGAGTTCAAAACGAGTCAAGTTTAAGTCAAGTCTGAGTAGTTTAATTATTTTACGTGTACACGAGTTGAGTTTTTTTAGACTTATTATGTTCAAGTTCGATTCGTTTTCACTGAACTCAAACACAAATTGAATTCGAATAACTCGAGTTGATTATCAGCCCTAAATATCACCACGGTACATTCACTATTTTTCTGTCACTGGCTTTGTCAATCGACTCAATACTAATATAATGTTGTCTTTGGTGGAGCTAAAGACATCCTCTTTTGGTCAGCACATCAATGTTATTCTAAAGGAGTGTTGCATAGTTTTCATATGATTTTTTTTTAAAATTCTTATATGATTAGTTAGTCGTATCATGTTTGGTTTGAAATTTTCAACCGCCAAACACGTTATGATAGGAATATGTCTATGTCTTTTTGGAGGGACCCAATTTTATTCCATAAACATTCAAATATGATTAGTTCTGAATAGCATTTACAGTTTGGCAGGTACGATTACATCTAGTTCATATCGAATTT